GGGGGCAAAAATAATCCAAATCGCAACCCCTTCTTTGTTCTTATTTATTGAAAATATTTTTACATATTTTTTTTATATGAACGAATATATTTAACTTTATTAAAAAAATACTTATTTATAGTGAAAAATATATACAAGATGTGAAAAAAAGTGTTCAGTATTTATGTGATAGATAGTACACACCATATTGAATAAATAAATAAAGTAAACATAAATTAAATGCTGTGATTTCTGAGATATAAACATTTTGTATCATGACTGACGTCTTAGTTTCTATTATACATATCGCATACGACATGAAAAGAGATGACAATCTTGCCAATCTTTATCGAATCAATACAGAAGATGTTTCATTTGCTCTTCTTTCATGCACGCTTTACATCTTACAAAATCGCTGATTATACAATACAATGACAACTGAAAGAATACCGGTGAAATCTTTCTAAAACATGTACAGAAATTGAGTAAGAACATTTAGATTTTAGAACATTTGTAACACCTGGGTGAAGCATTACGTCGCATGCGACACGTAAAAGTCAGTCAGTTATGATACTAATGTACAAAATTGTTGTCTTAAAAACGATTAAGTTTTCGACTTATGATCATTAAAATTTGTTTATTCATTGTCAATATGGTGTGTACTATAATATCTACTATATGTATAAATGTTGGATGCTTTTTTTAACATTCTGGAATAAAATAAAATTATATTTTCTTGTATGTAACTTATTATATTATGTGTTTACTTTGACCATTTTTAATAATTATTTATTTATGAATTAAGAGAGTGGTACAGAGAATTATCTAAACATTTATATTAAATGAACATTTGCTATACATTATTTCTATATTTCACTTTTGTATCAATTTATTATTAATAATTGAAGAAAAAATATAAATAAACGTATTTTTTATGAAAAAGAGTTTATGAATAATCTATGAACCACAATTTTCTTCATTTTCATGTTCTAAAATTATATTTTTTGAAAGACACAATAGTTGTATTTTTTTTTAATTCAAAATTTCTACTTTCTGAAGTATATATATTTAAAATATTATTAATGTATAAAAAACGGTTTATAAGCAATAAAATAAATCAAAATTTTCTTTAAAATTTGGATTTATTTTATTACTTATAACTTTTTTAATAATTTTTATTAATAAAAGTGCATATATTTGCTTGTTACCATTATATTTCTCAATGCCTGTTGTTTTGATTGAAAAATATTGTATATAATATGATCATTTTTATGAAAGCTATAAACAATCAAAGTTGCATATATCTTACTGACAATGAGTGTGTTGTGTTCCCGTGTGAACTTGAAGTGTGGCATTAAGAGTTAAATAAACTTGAGCCTGAAATAAATATTTTTATACTCAGTTGCCAGAAATATTATTGTATCGGCAAATTTTCTTGTTTTGAAGAGGGAAAAAACAAACTATGAGATGAATGATACTGTTTTAAGTTTACTATTTTTAAAACTCCTTAGAATACAAAACAAAGAAAAGTTTAATTGTTTAAAGAAAGCTTTTAGAGATATATAGAGTATATCTTGAAAATTGTTCTTTTTTTCTATAATATATGTCTTGTTAAACAAATGAGAGAATTGCAACACAAAATAATTGTACAATATTATTTTTAATAAAGTATACTAGTAGCATTATAGACACGCGCTTCGCGCGCGTTATTTAACATTTTTTACTATAATTTGTTATTATATATATCGACCTCAATACACACAACTGTCAAAATATGCAATGACAGTTCATAAAGTTAGCGCAACGAAAGAACCAATCATCGCGGAAAAATGTTAACAATAAATTTGAAAAGACCGATACATTTCGAATATCGATTTAACATGCCTTTTTTTAAATAGGACTAGCTAGCATTACAGATGCGCGCTTCGCGCGCGCTATTTAACATTTTTCACTTTTTATTATATTTGCTATACATTCTATTAACTTTAATACACACAACTGTGAAAATATGTAATAACAGCTGCTCGCGAAGCGCAATGACAACCAATCAA